TGTATGCACATTTTGGGACTTGAAGGAGGTGGACCCCATTGCTTCACATTACATCCACTGAAGGGTTTAAGACATTTTCTAAAATAACTGAAAATGTGTTCGTCTGAAACAAGATTGACATATGCATCTCGAACGGCTTGAGGGTGAGTAATGCATGTATTAAATATCATTTTTGGCCGAACTATCCCTTTAATGATCAGTGACTATGGCTGTGTTTACACTGCAAGTCTTTAAGGGGTCATGAACTGCATTTTTTTTATTGTTTTATAATGTTTCCTGTAGACTTATAATGTTAGTATGATTTTTTACATCAAAAATTGCCATAATTTAAAAATAAAGGCATTTTTCCTACCCTGATTTTAGCCCTCTGAAATTAAGTATTACATCTTTACGTTTTTACTATTACAGCTCTCAAGATTAACTAATCGTGAAAAGTGTTGATTATAGCATTATATTCAGATCTATAGCATTATATTTAGAGCGTGACATTAAAGGGTTAGTTCACTCCAAAATGAAAATTCTGTCAGTAATTACTCACCCTCATGTTGTTCCAACCCCTTAAGACTTTCATTCATCTTCGGAACACAAATTAAGATATTTTTGATTAAATCTGAGAGCTGTATCACTCCTCGATAGGCTTCTTAAGGGATCGAAACTGGCCGGCCCAAAAAACAACACGAGGGTGATTAATTACTGACAGAATTTTCATTTTGGGGTGAACTAACCCTTTAAAAGGTTGCAGTGATGAGCGTTGTAGCCGGTCACAGACATGTTGAGAGCATGAATGCAGCGATCTCGTCATTGCAACTCGATTTCTGAACACTAACGAATGGTTTCTTCATAACTAACAGTGCAAACACAATGTAAATAAGAGATTAGTTGATTAGTACATGAGTTTTGGCACGACTCCAGATTAGGGCTGGACGATTAATCGAAAAGTAATCGAAACCGAAATGCAGAGTCTCTAACCGACGTAATTTTCCCATGTCGTTTATTTTTATTTTTAATCCTGTTAATACTTTCCCCTTAAAAACATACTACCGTATGTGTAGTCACATGATTCCACCCTGTCCAGTCAGCAGCATGGAAGCAACATGGAGAACTCAAACTCCGAGTCAACTGAGAAACAGGAGCAGCTTGTACAAAAGAAAAACGCAGTGTTCGTTGTTTGGACACATTTTGGCTACAGTAAAGAACACACACACGCAGACAGCGCGCGACATCTCACTTGAGTGCTCGCGAGCTGCTTTCTGTGACACAGAGCCAAGCCACATCGTGTCTCTGACAACGCGGAAGCCAGATCACTTTCACTTCATTTTCATTAAATTTTGTCAATTGTATGTTTTAAGGCTTGCCAGTGTCAACATTCCAGCGATTTTTAGATCATCGGATGTGTATCATTTTATTGAACTACTGCACTGATACATTGTGGCACACGAACACTCATTTACATTTATGCATTTGGCACACACAGGACAGCGTTGACAATGAGTTTCTGCGCTCCTGAATGTTTCCCTGTGCGCGTTATCTTACAGACAGACGTGAAGATAACGCACACAGGGAAACATTCAGGAGCGCAGAAACTCATTGTCAATGCTTTCCTGTGTGTGATCAGTTATAACATACATTTTTCTACTTTTGAAGTAACTACAACCCACAGCTTCACAATTCAATAATTCACACATGCAATTGCTCTCTCATTAATGCATCAAAATAAATGTACTGGTACTGTGCTAATTTACCTGCATCTGATTTACAACGAGCAGAAATCTGTAAGAAATGTTACGTCTTACAGACATAAAAACTGATGAAAGTGAGCTATGTCGGAGTAATGGCACTATGCACAGCGCCGTGACACTTTCTTAAGCCAACATCAAAGTTTGTTTCCTTCAATTATTTTAAAATAACAAAGATAAGAAATACACTCTTTTGTTTAGAAAAAAAAACATCTCACCTTTAACAGTTGAGCATGTTTACAGCACAACCCTTGTCAGTGAACTATGAGGGCAAAAAAAAAATTCGTTCATTGATCGTCATCGAGGTAAAATTTTCAATGAATCAAGATTTTGATTTTAGGTCATATCGTCCAGCCCTATTGTGAGTTTTAGTGCGACCCCATACAGGCATGTCTGCTTCATATACAACATTAAAAAGCTATCTTTGTGTAAAAACGGCCACTCCCTGGCCCAAAGCAAGGTATCTGCAGATGAGAGTGTGAAGCAAGCACTTGTGTTGTCCTGTACCACTTTACAGATGATGAGTGGAAAGAGAAGTTTAGATTGACATGACATGTCATTTATTATAGTCAAAAACAACATCAGCTCGTTCCATGCTTCATAGGTCAATTCTATGTCATTGTACATAAAAACACTAGAACTGGAAACGTTTGTGTATATGTCCTATCGAATTTATTAGAGAAAGTTTATCCCACCCCTCTCAAACCAATTAAACTTTTAGTTGGTTTGGGCATTTTTATTACGATTGAGGTGTTTACATGGAGCACTTTAATTTGGATCATACTTTTAAACCGATTGTAATCGGAGTACTATGCTCCATATAAATGCACCTAGTGTAATTAGATTAGTTTAGATTAATTACTAATAAAAAGTATTGTATTACTTATTACTTTCTTAATCTCATATCAACCTCAATCAGTTGAACAATACAAGGATAGACATGAAACTGATCTTTTAATTCTTTCAAATAAATAATATAAATTGCATAAATAGTGCTTGAACTGACCAAAGCATTTAAAGGGAGAAAGTTAGATTAAAAACAAATTTTTAACATAATTTTTTTTGTTTAATCCACTATTGTTTTATATAGAATTGTTTTATAGTCTATAAACTATTTAATGCAAGGACATCAGAAGTAACTTATTCAATTACAGAAAAATTAAGAATAATCCCTTACTTTACTTTTTCAAGGGAAAAGTCTTACAGTAATTACAGTAATTAATTACTTAGTAATGCATTTCACACAACACTGACAGTGAAATATGTAGTTGGAACATATACAAAAGTTTTTAGTGATCATCATTTGGATGAGGTAATTATTTATTTTCTTTGTTAAAGTGGTCATGAATTGAGATTTTTCCCTTGATCTTTTGACATGAGGTAATTGTACTATAAAAACATTGTAAGTTTCTAAATTCAAAACTTCCTACAAAGCTTTCACTGAAAACAAGCTGCCAAAATGACTCATTCTGTTTTTATTATTTCTATGAAATAAAAATAGATTTTGATGAAGTTTTCCAAATGTTGTGCAGCTCTTAGTTGTGGAAGAACATCATATCTGCATACCTTCAGAAGAATTCTAAAATTTGGAAAGTGTCTGTTTATTTTCAATGAAGTGTCTGATAATTCCAGTAGGGCATAATTAATTGTCACATTTGGATACAAGCTTTGCAAACACATACACACAAAACTCTGGCTATTGGATTTCTGCATTCAGCACTGGCTACAATGCTTGCTGCAACAAAACAAAACAAAAAAACTTAAAGGAACCTTTGGAGTAGATATAAACAATACTGTAATACATACATAATCGTGTTTCAACAGTTTCACTTTGTAATACTAATTTCATAAGAAAAGATTTTATCCAATCATAGAAAGTGGGTGTATGAAGTCTTAAAACATCTCAATATAGCCAGCCTAAACCAGTTAATAGCCTTCCATTAAGCTTAAGAACAAGCAAGCTAGTCTGGCGTTGGTGTAAAATAGCTATTTTTGCTAGATATCGCCAACAAAATGGTTCCAAACAAAGCAGAACAGTTATGTCTCCTAACAACACAGTGGTGTTTGAACTGTGTTTTTGGATGAATTGGGAGTCAATGATTCAGTGACTCATTCATAAAGACAGTAGGTACGTCCCAAATGGCATACTTATGCATTGATATGTATGCAAGTCTTCTGAAGAGACACAAACGCTTTATATGAACGTTTTGGGTGAATGGGTGTTGTGATTTTCTCATGAATTTAATGCTAAAAGTGAGTATAAAAATACAGAAGCACAGATTTCCTGACAGTTTTGTAAACCGTTTATGTACATTCCTCTGCACATAAGCTTCACAGCGTGCTTGCGTCATGTTGAGAGACCGCAAAAATTCGACCCTCTCATGAATGCACGCAAGACAGTTGGCTGAACATTTTTGCACTCATTCACTTATGGATTCATAGAGATTGTTATTTTTCTGAAAATCTTTGTGTTCATCTGAAGAAAGAAAGTCATATATCTGGAATTTCATGAGGTTTAGTAAATGAGAGAATTTTCATTTTTTTGGTGAACTAAGAAATAAATCACCACAACCAAAGAGACTAAATCTCTTTAAATTTCAAAGAGAGCTCACAACATCCGGTGACAAGAGCAGGCTCTGGCGACCGGATGTGTCCAGCGACAACCAATAGGAGAGGAGACAGTACACTTCCTCTCAGCTACTGCGGGTGATGGAAGAATGGAGGAAAACCTTTGAAGCTACCTGGAATACCCACAATCTCACATACGCTTTTCCATGCATTATAGATAAATAATGCATGGAAAAGCGTATGTGAGATTGTGGGTATTCCAGGTAGGTTCAAATCATTGCCAGTAAAATTGACTTTTAACTTATGAAAATCTGTTACATCCAAAACCATATAAATACAAAAAATGTATTGAATAAATGTACCATATTAGTAACCGTTAATATTTTAATAATATTGAGTAAACCGTGCTGTGAGGGGTTTCCAATCCTGCTCCTGGATGGCCAATGTCCAACAGTTCAACTTCAATAAACACACTTGCCTGGAAGTTTCTAGAAATCCAGAAGATCTTGTTCTAAGACCAACCCTGGTCTAACCAACAATAGAAATTCACTGTATCACTGTGCAAGTGACAAAGTTGCTGCCTGTGTGGATGAAGCTTAATTGACCTATAAAGACTGGATTGGTGCATCCCAACTTTAAATGCTTTGCTATTCTTAATAGTAAAAAACATAATGTTGTGATCACCATCTTTTACAGAAACGCTCCAAGCAGAGGAAGATGCAGCAGAAAGCTTTACGCAAGCACCAGCTGAAGGAGCAGAGACAGGCTCGCAAAGAGAGATTGAGCGGCCTCTTCCTGAATGAGGAGGTCCTTTCACTTAAAGTCACAGAGGAGGAAGACCATTGTGATGATGTTGATGTATTGATGTGACGAGAGTAAATTATTCAGTGTTCCTTCTAAGCCTCTTCCAATGCAGCATTAATTACTCTGTTCTAGACATCTCTCGGCAACCAGGGGCCTGATGTATAAACGTTGCGTGCGCACAAAAAAAGGCATTGAAATATGTGTACGTAATTTTCCCCGCACATATCAGGATTTATAAAAAAATAAACTTAGCGTAAATATGTGCGTATGCATTCTTTTACTGGAGTGAGAAAAGTAATGAAGTAAACAGAATGATTATAAACTGTTTTCAGTTTTGATGCATTTCATTTAAATATTCCACTCATTAATGGAGTTAAGCACACAAATTACATAGTCATTATCCAGAAATTAAACAAAAAATAATGAATTTAGAAATATTTGAAGTGGATGTGCTGCTTTGATCTCTTTTCCTGTGGCATGCTACATTTTCATGTTTTAGTGACAGTGAAGAGTGCTAGGCGCATGATAATTCCTCTTTAATCTAAATTGCATTACTCTTGTTCTGAGAAAATATTTCTCGTGAGAAAAATAATCAATGATGCACACTTTTGTTCACTGGTAGAGCGGTCCATTGGCCGGTTTGAATGGGTCTGATGACAACACTACAACCACTGCTGCACGCAGGTGTTCTGTTAATGTCATGAGCAGTTATGACGACTCCTGTGATCTTCCCAACATTGTGAAGGAAACCAAGATCTGCACGTTTTATTAAAAAAATGTTTTGTCGAAGAGTCAGAATAAGGCCAGTCTGTTTCCATTAAAAATATATAAACATTCTAAAACATGTTTATCTTTTAAAGGGACAATTGCATTGATTTTATTTGTTTAAAACAACTAAAAAACTGTTTGGCCAGTGAAAAAGAAAGAGAATAGCTCTTCTCTAAAAATTTTTTTAATACAATTTAGCTTTTGCAGATATTTTGATATATTTATTCTAAAACAAGACAAGGATACTGTAATTTGACTGCACATTTATAGTTCGTATCTCATATTTTCCTAATGTCTTGTACCGTTAAACATGGTATCATGTGGATGGGAATATGCATATGCTAATGATATGCAGATGACGTTATGCATAGTGAAACTAGCTCCATATATAGTTATTTCGTGGTGGAGGTGCATGTACGTACAATCTTCCGCTGACTGGGTTTTATAAAAGGAATTTTGTGCACACACTTAGAATGAAATCTACGCAAGGTTTTATACATGAGGCCCCAGATCTTTAGTTGTAATAATAAAGTCTCTCTGCAGTTATCCTAACAGTAAATGCTGTCTGACCAACATCTCCAGTGACCGTTTATCATATATGTAAATGTTAATGTACATCTCATCAGTTTTCTGAAGTAAAATCATAGGTGCACATACCTACACGAAATTGGTTGAAAGAAAAGTTGTGCATGCAGTCCACAGACCCATAAAAGACTGCTGCCTCCTAAAGTTGTTCGTACTTGATGCATGTTACTAGTCAGTACCAGTGGCAATGAGTTTCATGATTCTTGGTACCACAGCAAAAATGTATGTGCTATTTAACACAATTAATTGTTTAAGCACACAGTTGCATCTGTTACCAAGTTTAATCTGTACTTGGTACAATTTTAGTCAGCACATACTGTAAATGATAGGAATTTTTTTTTTAATGGTTTGCCAGACTAGTGATGAACGTTAAACCTTAGAGTCTGATAAATATGGAGGGCATTGAAAAAAAAATGTATTTGGTTTACATTTTAAAAAAAAGAAGTGTTTTGACTCTTGCCCAGAAGATAAAACATCCAGACATCTTTTTGTAACAGCGCAGTTAAATGTGCATTGTACCTTACGAATTCAAGTTCTTAAATAGTGTTTAAAAACTTTAAAAGGACAGTGACGAATATTTGAAAATATATTTCATCATGTTATACAATGACATCATTATGTACATAATTTATTGGGTAATTATTGCTTGTAGAAGTACATACAATATGAACTCAGGCATAGAGGGAACACTGACAAATTAAGTCATTGCCTTCATTTTGTATCTACTTTAAATTCATTTGAAAGGTCATACAAATATGTTTTGGAACTTTTTGACATTTAAATTTCATATTAAAAACTAGTAGAACACGATACCTGATTTTTTTTTACTTTGCTCTCTTTTAGCCAAGTTGGAGAAAAGTAATATTTCCAAATTTTTATTGTGATTATATTTCTGTAATTGGGTTAAATATTGGAAGTGAGGGGACTACTTTTTAGTGTAAAAAAAATACATTACATCTTGGAATTTGTTAAGGTTATGCAACCTTAAGGTTAGCATTAGTTCAGTTACAGAACTTCATTTTTTTTTTTTACCTTGCAAATGTGTTATTTAAGCATTCTTTATCCATTTAAACATCCTTTTATTGCAAATGTGCAGAAAACAACTTTGTGCAAAAATTAAGATTTTAATCAACAACAAAAAAAGGATTAACCTAAAGTATTTTTTCTTTGATCTTTCAAACATAAATGCGCAGATTTTCAAACAATGGGATAATTCCCAAAATTCTGTTTAGTTGCAGTGTGTCTAAATAACATACATTTTTGGAGAAGACCATTTTGTTATTCTTTACACTATTTGTAAGATTAGTACATAGATATTTTGATCCGGACATAAATGTGTAAGATGAAGTTAGTATGATTTAACTGCTTTGCTGAAATGTCTGAATATTCTTAATTTCATCAAATAAAATCAAAGTATGACATGATTGAGGTGTGAAATATATTGCACTAGCTTTTGTGTCAATTATATATTTTCTTGACATGAAATACTTTCAGCATTTAAATCTATCTTTACAGTAAGTGTATCGTCTTGGCAGTCATGTAATTGTGCAGTCAAACATTTAGCATTTTTATAAATGAGAATTAAACATAGTTTAGAGAGTTATTACTCTTTATACATATGTATAAATATTTATTTAGTCATTTGAAAGGCTTTTTTGGCTAATGTGCAGGCAATAGGTTAATGTTAACAAATAGTATAACCATTTAGGAATTGTTCCTACTATGGAAGGTAATGCAGCCTTTTAAAATTATTTGCCAATACACAGTAATTAGAGATTTTCTGAATTGCTAAAACATTTCTCGAGACCTTAAACAAAACCAAATCTTCAAACTACATTCAGAGAACATCTGACTCTTCTGGCAAAATCAAACAATTGCCTCAAAATCATTTTATCTGTGCTCAAAATTAAATGCTTTCAGTCAGTCAAAATATAAACACCACAGATAATTCATTAGACACTACATCAAAAAAGGAGAATACAGCATCCAAAGCATGCAGTTACAGAAAATATATATATATTGTAACAGTAAACAAATTTTGCAATTATGTATAAATGTATAGTAATCGCAACTTACAGTAGTAAAGTGATTAAACTGTAGATTGTGTGCACTGCAAGTTTGTATTGAATATTACTGAGTGTCTATATATTCAGCACTTGCATGTAGCCAAAAAGTTTTTTATTTATTTAAACTAAATGAAAAGTATTTTACAGTACACTCAAAAGAGTTGTGCAACTGCAAAATCAAAGTCAGTGAGACATTTATTCAGCCTCAGCGTGATGTCTTCGTCTTGGGTCTGACCTGAGGACTCGCAGGTAATGTTGTCTCTGGTGTGATGGATCCAGCCTTGACAACACTGTCCACGGAAATTTCAATAAAAATGAAAAGGAAGAGGATCTTTCTCATCCTCTTCCTCCTCATCCACCACCTCTTACACATACTCTTCCTCTCCTTTTCAGGTTGTTTCCATCTATTGTTCATATCAACATTTAGTGCACCTGTGTCACCTGAGCACTCTGTACAGTTGGTTTGATCACATCATTAGAAACAAGTGTGGACAATTTTGAGTCGCTGTCATTGTTTACAAATGACAACTGTGTTGTAGTGGTGTTTAACTTTTGCCTGCCTGTGTTTAGCATTTTGCAACACAAGTGCATCACAGTGTTAAATGTGTTTTAGTGAGTGAGAACATGTTTAGAATTTTGCACAAAAGAGTACAATTTGCAAATGGTGTCTAACTGCCTGAACTTGTTTAAGGTTTTGCAGAAAGAGTGATTAATTCGACAAATTGGTTTAGGCTATTGAGAATTTGGTTCAGAGAATGAGGTTTGGTGTCTTAGAAATTCAGAAATACTTTAAATGCTGAATAACATTATTGTAATAAAGGTTATGCCAATAATTGGAAGAAACAAATTACAAATTAATAATAATCATTAACATTAAGTGATGCTCTTAAAGGAGAACTTGAGAACTTGAAAAAAAAAGAAAAAGAAAAAAAAAAGGCTTGCACCTTGGAACCTATTTCAAGGTTTGCGTTCTAGAGCCACCAGGCACTTTTGTTGTGTGAATGAGCAGGCCGGAGCGTGTTAAGGGTCTTCTATTAGAACGGTGTCGTGTTGCGGCCCCTAAATTAACACATTTAATCCCACTGGTCACAATTGTGACCACAATTTTTCCTTGATCTTTGCAACGGAAGTAAATCGATCAAAACTAACTTTAGCTGGACAATAACTTTATTCTGCTGTAAAGCCAAAGCAATCTATGTTACCTTAATTTCCTATTATCACTAGGGCTGGGTATCGATTCAGATGTTCAAATTCGATTCGATTTCGATTCACAAGCTCACAGTTCGATTCCTGATTCGATTCTCAATTCGACTATAATGAATATAGATGTAATACAAATCTCAGTCTAAATATCAGTTATCATTTTTTAGACCATTTTTTATTACATTGATCTCACTTAAATGTTTGTTTTTACAATGGGGTAATTTTTTTTGTTAAGAGTTTATGCAACACATGGAAGCTTGATTTCAATCTTTGAATTAAATTGAAAAAAGTAGCACAAATAAATACAATAGAATAGGCCTAAAGACAAATAAAGAGACATAAAAAAGAAAAGTTTTTGGGTAGGTCAGAAATACTACAGAAAATGAATAAAGTAATCCAATGTAAAATAACACTGGATAGTCATTTAGTCCTGACTGAATTAAATACATAGGCTATTAATTCTGATTCCTTACAATTAATGCTATATTATGTTGTTTTGACAACAAAATTAATGACAGACACGTATGGCTGCGTTCACTTTAAGAACTAGTGCACGGATCCATTACTGTTTCATTATACTGTCTGTCACACGCGTTTTATGCTTATTTAAGACATAACCGACTGTCTTTACGAGGTTACTCACCAAGACCAGAGTTTTGACATCATTTTG